GGGGCTGAGCCGGGCCTGGGACGCGGAAGCCGGGGCCACCGGGCAGTGGCACCGCGCGCCTTACAGCCGCGGGAGCCGGAACGCTGCCGGCTCGGGTTGATTTGTAAACAATGGGTGACGTCGCGCGGCTCCTACCACTGCGCGCGGCCGGGGGATGCTGTGTCCTTGGCAGCGGGGAACCTGCAGGGCTAGGGGACACAGTGGAGCCGGGCTGCCCCGAAGCCTCACTGCCGTGTCTGCTGTGTGCGGGGAAGTACTGGGAAGCTGATTCAGGTTCGCTCAGCCGGGCCTAATTGGCATTCCACAAGATGGACACCTTGGGGGACTCGATTGGTTTCTTCCACACACAGTCACTTCCACACACTTACACCTCCACACACTCCCCTCAGCACGTCAAGTGGTTTGGTTTAGGCGGTGGCGTGTTTTTTTTTTTTTTTTTTTTTTTTTTTTTTAAGGTTCGGGCGCCAACGTCAGGCGAGGATGGAAAGGAGAGGGGGAGAGGCTAGGAATCGGTGTGACGATGAGCGAAAAGATGTCAAAGATGGAAAAGAGATCCTGTGGTCTGATATGATGGCTGGGTTGGAAACTCTGCAAAACGTCCACAGATTAGTGTTTCTGACTGCCACCCACCCCCACCAGGGAGCTAGGGGCTGCCTGGACTACTGGCCCTTTACGAGGAGCTGTAATATGGAAAGTAAGTGTGTGTGTGTGTGTGTGTGTGTGTGTGTGTGTGTGCGCGTGTGTGTGTGTGTGTGTGTGTGTCTTTAAAGGAATTCACCAGCCAAATGGAGAATAGGCCCCTATAATGGGTAGCAAGGGAGGCACATGTTGAACTGTTTATTTTAAGCAGGGCCCCGGCCATTTTAAGCATTCCAGATAGCATTGTTGAATTAATGGTTAACCAAGTCTTTATTTATTTTTAAATACTTATTTATTTTGTGACAGAACCTTGTGTATCTCCTTGGATTGGCTGTGTAGCTGAGGATAGCCTTGAACTCTTGATCCTCTGGCCTCCACCTTGCTGTTGTGCAGCACTAGGTCAAGTTCGTTTAATGATTTATTATATAAAGTGTTGGGAATTACACCCAGGGCCTTGCGCATGGTAGGAGTGCTTTACTTCCGAGCCATTAGAAAATCGATGACCTTCAAATTGACTGCAGCAGACATCTGTGTGGTGACACACACCTGGAATCCCAACACTGGGAAGGTGGAGGCAGGAGTATTACAAGTTCAAAATCATTCTTGACTAAATAGCCAATTTGAAGCCAGCCTGATCACATGAAACTCTGTGTCCCTCTCATTGAATAGCTCTGGTTTCTCTTCCACCACTGGGGGGTGGGGGTGGGGGATGCTGAATGTTAACTTAAAACGAATGAATTTTGTAATATGTAAATTGTACAATATAACGTTCTTTTAAAATTAGTCATAAAAGCATTTGCACACAGACACACAGAAGCCAATGAAGAGGGTGACAGTGTGTACCAGGCATTTTCTAGTATTCAGCAGGAGCCAAGTTCAATTGGTCGGGGAGGCAGAGGTGTGAAGATTACTCAAACCCATGAGTTTTAGACTGAGACTGAATTCAAAAGAAAGTAAATGAGACTGAACTCTAGAGGACCTGAGGAGTCTGGTTCCCAGCACTCATGTGGAAGCTGTAGGGGATGTAATGCCTTCTTCTGGCCTCCATGTGCACCAGGTACACATAGTGCAGGTGCACAGGCATACATGCAGGCAAAACACCCATGCACATTTAAAACGTTTTAAAAAAAAAGAATTGGTAACTGGTGAGATGGATGAGGGGAAGAGACGCTTACCACAAAGACTGACTGCCTGAGTTCAGGCCTCAGGACCCAGTGGTGGAAGGAAAGTGCTATTTCCCATAAGTTGTCCTGCTGTGGAGTAATCCTTTTGTACACTGAAGATGTTTTGCTCTCATTGGTTTAACAAAGAGCCAACTGGCCAATAGCTAGGCAGGAAGAGGTTAGATGGGAGAGCCAGACTGAGAGAATACTGGGAAGGAGGGTGGAGTTGCCAGCCAGACGCAGAGGGAGCAGGATGTGTAGAAAATAAGCTAACAAGCCATGAGCCACATAGCAGCACATAAATTAATTAAAGTTGTAAGAGCTAGTTAGTAACAAGCCTAAGCTATTGGCCGAGCATTTATAATTAATAATGAGTCTCTGTGTGGTTATTTGGGAGTGGGTTAATAGGACAGAAAAGTCCACCTACATTGTCCTTCATTCCCCGACCCCCTACATAAATAAATGTAACTTTAAATATTTTTAAAGAGAGTTATGTTCATTTTTGTCAAGTGTAGAGGAAAGAATGTCAGAGCAGAAGAAAAGTCAGTTTCCTCCACCACCACCCCCCTTTGTTTTTTCGGACAAGATTTCCTGCAGCCTCAGCTGGCCTGGAATTCACTCTGTAACTGAAGATGATCTTGAACTCCTGATCCTCCTGCATCTGCCTCCCAGGTACTGAGATTACAGGTTCTTGTCACAGTTCCCTGCTTGTAATAGAACCAGTTTGGAGAAAGTTATCCGACTCCTAAATCTAGGCAATCTGGTCTTCTTCAGTGTTATAAAATTAAAATTAATCACTGGCAGATAGTCTGCTCACCACCCCTACCTCCCCACCAGGCAAGATCTTACTCTGTAGTCCAGACTGGCCTAGAATTTCTGATAATCCTCCTGTCTTGGCCTCCTGAGTGTTGTGATAGAAAGCATTTGGCACACTCCAAGCATCTTTTTTTCCTTTGTAATTTAGATGCCATTTACTTTATGTATTTATTTGTTACTCTGCTTAGAAACAAGACTGGATAGAAGTGATGAGAACAGTCAGGGAGTCCATTGTCTTTGATGTTAAGTGTGATGTTTGCTGCAGGTTCTGTGCATTGATGTCTTTTATAAGCTGAGGACATTCCCTTGTATTCCTGGTTTGTTGAAAATTGTTTTTAATCATGGAAAAGTAATTTATTTAATTAGTTTATTTGATAAGTTTTCTCATTTTGACTCATTATTCAAATGAAAGTATAATCAAGGTAGGTTTTTTATTAGCTGTACTATTTATACACCTGATTATTAAAAGTTTTAAGGTGACATAGGGAACCAGCCATGGTATATAAGCTCATAGTTCTAGCACCTGGTAGACAGGTAGAAGAGTCAGGAGTTCAAGGGCAGTTTCTGCTATAGAGTTAGTTAGAGATCAGCCTGGGCTAATGAGATACTGTCTCAAAAAATAAAAATAAAAATAAGATGAGACAGGGAACGTGAAACAATTTAAATAGTAGCACTTTATAATTTATGGGTTTTTTTTTTCAGCTCAAAATATATAAGCCCACAGGACTGAATAGATGGCTCAGTGGTTAAAAAGCATTTGTTGCTCTTCCAGAGGACCAGGATTTAATTCCCAGCACCCACATAGTGGTTCACAACATCTGTGATTCACTACCAAGAGATCTGACGGTCTCTTCTGACCTCCATGGGCTCCAAGCATGCATGTGATATACATACATATGTGAAGACAAAACACCCTCACATAAAATAGAATGAATAAATATACAAAATTTATAGGCCTGATACATTATTGTAGGTATGAAAATGAAAAATGGTACCACTATTTTGGGAACAAGTCTGGCAGTTAGTTTCTTGTACAACTAAACACATACACATGTAGCTCAGTTCCAAACAATATTTACCCAAGAGAAACAAACACACAGGCCACATCAAGGTCAATCATAGCAGCCTTATGGATCACAGTCCCAAATTTGATCCACCCAAGTGGTCCTCTATAGGAAATGGAAACCAACCTAAGGTACATTCCTATCATGATAGTGGCAGTGGGAAGTTCCCAAACTGTTTGCTTTGTGAAAGGAACCAGAGAAAAGAGTCAGAGAATGATGCCATAGTGAAGTGTCGAGACAGACAAAGTATCTTTCTCTCCTTGTTTGAGGCAGGGTCTAACTTTGTAACTCTGGCTGTCCTAGAACTCATTACATAGACCAGGCTGGCCTCAGACTCACAGAGATCTGCCTGCCAAGTGATGTGGAATAACACTTTTGTACACTGTGAATATGTATTACTCTCATTGGTTTAATAAAGAGCCAACTGGCCAATAGCTAGGCAGGAAGAGGTTAGGTGGGAGAGCCAGACTAAGAAAACACTGGGAAAAAGGAGGGCCAAGTTGCCAGGAGACATAGAGGAAGCAGGAGATGATTTGCCATACTGAAAAAAAAATGTACTGCCGCCACATGGTAGAGCATAGATAAGAAATATGGGTTAAGTCAAGTTGTAAGAGCTGGTTAGTAACAAGCCTAAGCTATTGGGTGAGCATTTATAATTAATAAGTCTCTGTGTGTTTTTAGAGGTTGGCTGGTGGGACAGAAACTCCCAGCTACACCCAAGTGCTGGGATTAAAGGCATGCATCTCCATGCCCATCAGACAAAGTAATGTTCAATGGGGACAAATCAGAGGATTGGTATCATTGGAGAGGTTCTGAAGAGGCTTGACGGACCCTTGGTGGGAGGGTTGATACTCTTATTTCTACCCTTTGTTCTGGATCTCACAGGGGTAGGCTTCGGTAGGAATTCCACAAACGGTGTATTTCAGGATTCACTGTAAATTTTACACAATAGGTTAAAAACTACAAAAAAATTCTAACTTTTGGTTACTAACAGGCATGCTGATGTGTTTAGTGGGGAGGTGTACTGATGCTGGCACTTTCTTCAGTACACCAACATGGGAGATGGATTCATGTAAGGCAGAAGCACAGGTAGGTATATGATAAAACAACAGAAACTTAGCTACTATATGACCCACATGTGAGTGAGATGCTCTCAGATGTGTACCTAAAATAATGCAAAAATTATGTCCACACAAAACTTGTATACAAACATTAATAGCAACACCGCTCAAGTTTTCAGCAACTGATGAATGAAATGTACATCCATACTTTGGATTGTTATCACTATAAAGGAGTGACATGTTGATATAACACAGGTGAGACTTGAAACATTATGCTGAGTGAAAAACTGGGGGGCTGGGAAAATGGAGGGAATTATTGTCATCCCAGCACATGGGAGGCAGAGGCAGGTAGATCTCTTGAGTTAGGGGTCAGTCTGGTCCTGGTCGACATAGGGAGTTCCAGACCAGTCAGAGTTACATGGTGAGACCCTGCCAAAAACAAAACAAAACAACAAACAGACAAACAAACAAAAAACCAAAACACCCAAAAAGTCTGAATTGAGAACTCCATAGAGACACAAAGCAGAATAGTGACTGACTGTTGCCAGGCCATGTGAAGAGAAGGGAATAGGACTAATTGGGTGATGAAAATGTTCTAGAATTAGTGGTGATATCTGTTAAATACAATACACCCAAAATCACTGAAAAGCTGGGCATGGTGGTCCGCACCTACAGTTCCTGAACTTGGGAGGAGGAGATGCGAAGATTGAAGGTCCTCTGCAGCTACATAGGTCAAGGCCAGCCTGGGCTACATAAGACTCTGTCTCAAAAAACAATCCCCCTTCAATAAACCTACCACCAACGAAGTAGCAAGGAGAGGGGCATGGGGGGCTGGGGATATGGCTCAGTTAGCAAAAGGCATGTCCAGCATGGGTTCCATCTCCAGATCTAAGCCAAGCAAACAGAACCCCAGAAAATGTTGAGTGGCAGCTTTCATGTTCTGGGAAGTCCATCTCTTTCTCACCTCTTCTCTCCTTTTGTTGCTGCTGCTGGACTCCGAGGCCTTGCTCATGCTGTATGTTAGATGAGTTCTAATAGGGATCTAGACTAGTCTCAAAATTTAAAGCATTTGGGAAGCAGAGGCAGGCTGATCTCTTATGAGTTCAAGGCTGGCCAGGGCTACATAGTAAAAAGTGGTTCACAAAAAAAGAAAGGAAAAAAAGCCGTAATAACAAATGTTAAGGGTGAAATGTAGATACAGGATAACAGGGTGTTGTTTACTGCCAAATTTTTCAGTTTGGCTTGCTGTTAAGAACTTTAGGATGAGCCGGGCGGTGGTGGCGCACGCCTTTAATCCCAGCAGGCAGTGGCAGGTGGATCTTCAAGTTCCAGACCAACCTGGTCTACAGAATGAATTCCAGGACAGCCAGGGCTATACAGAGAAACCTGCTCTTAAAAAACAAACAACAAACAAAAAACCAAAACAACAACAAAAACCCAACAATAACAACAAAAAACCCCAACCAAACAAAAAAGAACTTTAGGGTCACTCAACCTCAGAAAAGGGGAGAGAATTGTGTGCCCAGTACAGGTAGGGCCAGGGATGAGGATGGAGGGGAGCGGGTAGAGGGGAGGGGGAATGGAACACCTCCTGCAAGGTTGGCAGGCAGGCACACAGGGGAGATGTGTAAGTTTGCAGTGCAAGGATGAAAGGATTTCCTTGGCCTGCTGTGAGTTGACCAAATTCTTCTCAACTGTGGGTGGTCACACCAGATGAGGAGGTGAGACTGTTGTGGGTGGTCACACTAGAAGAGGAGGTGAGACTGTTTCAAAAGCCAGCAGGGTCCCTGAATTGCATGAGACGCTGCAAGGCGGACAAAGGCTGGCCTTGGCAGCTCCCTTGGTAGCCAACCAGCTCCCCAGGCTCAGACCCAGCTCCCCAGGCTCAGACTGCCTGCCCGCGAGAAGAGCCAGCCCAGAGGAGCAGGGATTTGTACAAAGATGAGAATTCAAGAGATCAGGGGATGGAAACAGTTGCTAAGAGGTCTGAAGGATGTTTTAAATGCCTCTCAGTGGAGCTGCTGAGGAAGATGTGGAAGTTTGAAGTCCTGAGAGCTGTTGCTGGGGTGGTAAAGGGGAGCAGACGCCGGTGAACAGGTGCCTGAGCCCTGGATCTCGAGAACAGAGGTTAAAACGGACACAGCCACATTGGTGTAGAACATTCCCTCATTAATAAAGGGAGAAAGCCCTCAGGCAGGGAGGTTCAGAGGGATACTATCTCGGGTGGGAAACTTACCAGAACTGGAGTGAACAGTGTCTCTCCAAATTCCTAAAAACCAGGACTTCGTACATCGATCTTCACACTGGGTGAGTGTGGGCCCTGCTGGTGTCACTAGTGTGTTCATAGAATGAGGATAGTGTGGACAAAGACACACAAAGAGAACCCCAGATACTGGATAATTTTCAAGGCTACATCTCAGATCGGCAGCTCAGGGTTTCACAGCTTTCATAGTGAGCAGTGGATCACACCAGGCCTGTCAGGCCTCCCCTTAGAACAGGGACCAGGATGAAGAGATGGCAAGACAAAGGAGCAGCACACCTCTGTCGGCATGCCAATCATAGGCAAGAATAGCCACGTGAGGATCCCGGCTGAGGGATCACGAGGATGACAGACAGGTTGAAGTGCATGGGATTGTATTATGTTCCTAAAGGAGCAGCCATGAAGCCGAGGCTGTGATGTGCAGCATGATTGGCTGTCGCTGTTGAGGGGAGGCAGTCTCTGTGTTCAGAGGTTTAGTGCCTGTCTGGATGCCCTGGCTGGCTGTGGTGTAGACAGCACTGTGAATTAGGAAACATGCAGTCAGCATGGTTCAGTATCTACTCTTAAAGTCGTTATATTAATTTAAATAGATAAAACAACAACAAGACTCAAAAGGCCAATTGCAGTATTTGGTGCTTGTTTCTTTCAAAGATATTTTATGAATTTTGCTCATTGATTTTTGTGTTTATTTGTATTCTACCTCTCTGTGTCAGATAAGTAGCAGCTCTAGTACGGACTGCTGTTTATTTCCAATAACCATTTCTACCTTTAATAAGCTCTGACCTCTGGTTGCATCTGAGCTACAAGACTGCATGTATCAGGGCTGAAGAGACGGCTATGTGGTCTATTCATGTAGTGGGTAGCTGTTCCAGCTTTGACCTGGAAATACCACCCCCTTTGAGGCTTCGGTAACTATCACGCCTACAAGGTGGAGCTGAGAGAGGACCCCTGAAGACCCGAGATCCAGATGGGGGAGCTCTCTTGGTTCCTGGACCCTGGACGCTGGAGGTAGACCAAGCAGAGTTCTCCAGAGAACACCGCCGGACTGCGGACTGCGCTACACCTTTCCCAGACCCTGTAAACTATCCCTTTACTTGTGAGTTACCCCACAAAATAAACCTCCCTTTTAACTACGTGGAGTTGCCTTAATATTTTAACCAATATATTCATATACATAAAATAAAAATTTAAGACAAAAACATGTAAAAAGACTGTATATTTCCATTCCTTTTGCAAACAGGTGTGGCCATGTGATTAAGTTCTGGACAATGAGATATAAGTAGAAAGTACCATGTCGCCTCTTAGGGACATCGCCCTCTAAGAGGCAAGCCTTTGTCTTTGTCTTTTTGCTTGTCTGATTTTATTTATTTATTTTTTTAGTGCCAAATGTCGTTTATTGAAGGAGGGAGGAGGTCTTGAATACAGGCTTACAGTTGGAGAACCCTGGAGGGCAGAAGTTGCTACAGATGTTTTACAATCTTGCATCTAAGCTGTTAACGCCCATTGTGCAGGATACATAGACAAGGAACTTCTCTTAAGCATCCAGGAGGGTGAAACCCAGGAGGGAATTAGCATAGGGAGGACATCAAGGTCAAGGTCAGCAAGCAAGGCAACAGTTATCCAAAACTGGGGCCAGGACCCTACAGGTCCCACTTTTACTAATAAATGAGCTTCTGACTTAGGTTGCGTGGGACGTCAGCAGGTCACCTTACCTGTCATGGAGACGCCTGCCCAGGCCACACAGGCACTGTGTCTTAGGTTGGTGAGCGCCCCCCACAAAATACCTGTCTCTGAATACTCATTATCATACCGGCTCAATCGTGTGTGAGCTGCAGTTAACTGCTGTCAAAATTCTCAAAGTGGCGCTGGGCTTGCAATCTGTGTGTTTGATTGATTTTATTTTTACAGTTAAAAGTGTCTCGCTAAATGGCTCAGGCTGGTGTTGAACTTTGCATCCTGCTATCTTAGTCTCTGTATTACAGGATGCCCCACCACACCCAGATTTTTTTCTTTCGTTTTGTTGTCTGGAAAGTGAATGTGATGGCTAAGCTCTCAAAGTCATGTTGAACTCTGAGGCTGAGAGGAAATGGCAGTGGAGGTAGTGAAGCCTCAAAGACACAAAGTCTATACTGACTGCTTAGGGGTCTAGGTGAGAAAGAAGCAGCCTGTCCTGCCCAGCCAACCAGGACCTTTTAAAAGCTGACACCATGACCAGAAAATCTACAGAGTGGTTTGAAATCACCAATCACCTGCAGAGTACCAGAGTAGGTAACAGACAATAATTGTCACTACCAAACATGTTATTTTTAGTAGATTTCTGAGATATAATTTACATGCTAGAAATTTCCCTCATTTAAAGCCTGCAGTTCAGTGGCTGTTAGATGTTTAGAGTTATGCAGCCATTACTGTAACCTAATTTTAGGACATTTGCATTTCCCCAAAAGGAAACTTTTTACCCATTTATCTAAGTTAGGTATTTATTCTCTTCCTGACCTCCCCTGGAAAGTGCTTCACCTCAGTTGTTTCCTTTAGTCTTCCAGTAACCTCTGACTTTGGTACTGTTATCTCTTTATTATTATTATTATTAAGAAAAATTTCTATTCATTTTACATACCAACCACAGATCCTCTCTCCTCCCTCCTCCTGCCCCCCATCCTTCCCCCCAAACCCACCCCCCATTCCCACCTCCTCCAAGGCAAGGTCTACCATGGGGAGTCAGCAGAACTTGGTACATTCATTTGAGGCAGGTCCAAGCCCCTCCCCCTGCACCAAGGCTGCACAAAGTGTCCCATCATAGGCACTGGGCTCCAAAAAGCCAGTTCATGCTTCAGGGACAGATCCCTATCCCACTGCCTGGGGGTCCCCTAAACAGTTCAACCTAAACAACTGTCTCGCCTATCCAGTGGCCCTAGTCCATGGTACTGTTATCTCTTTTTCTTCCTTTTTTTAAAGGTTAATTATTGGGGAAAATTATAATGGCCACTCCACGTAGTTAAAAGGAAGATTTATTTAGTGGATGACTTACAAATGAAGGAATGGATAGGTTGGGGGGGGTGGGGGGGGTGTCTGGGGAAGGTGTATCGCAATCCAGCGGTGTTCTCTGGAGCTCTGCACAGTCAATCTCCACCGTCCAGGGTCCAGGCGCAGAGAGATTGCCCAGAGAGAGCGCTCGCCCATCCAGCTCTCGGGTTTCCAGCACCTCCCCTCGCCCCGCCTCGTAGGCGTGACAGTTGCCAGAGTCTCAATGGGGGGTTGGAACTTCCAGATCCAAGCTGGAATGGCTACCCACTACAGTTAATTTTTTAAAAAATTGTGAATTATGTGTATGGATTCGTGTCTGTGTGTGGGTTTATGAACACGTGCAGATGTTTAAGGAGTCCATTGGAACCTCTGGAGCTAGAGTTAAAAGCAAGTTGTGAACTGCACAGTGTGGGTGCTGGGAATGAAATCCACATTGTGTCTGGGAACCAAACCCAAGTCCTCTCAAAAAATGGTAATTATTCTTAACCGTTTGGACTGGACAATCTTTCTAGTCCCCACACAAACTCTTACTGCTGGGGCTAGGATTCAGACTCAGGTTTTGTGTGTGTGTGTGTATTATTTAAAATTTTATTTATTATGTATGTGGGTATTTTGCCTGTTTGTATGTCTGTGTACCATATATGTGTCTGGTGCCCATAGAAGCTAGGAGAGGCATAGGATCCTTTAGAACTGGAGTTATAGAAGGTTGTGAGCCACTGTGTGGGTGCTAGGAACTGAATCTAGGTCCTCTGGAAGAGCAGTAAGTGCTTTTTAACCACAGAGCCATCTCTCCAATCCTATTATCAATTATAAATAAATTAATTAATTAAATTTGATTTTTTTTTTTTTGAGTCAGAGTTTCTCTGTGTAGTCCTAGCTGTCCTGGAACTGACTCTGTAGACCAACCAAGCTGGCCTCGAACTCAGAGATTTGCCTGTCTCTGCCTCCCGAGTGCTGGGATTAAAGGCTTGGACCTCCACCTGGCTTTTTTTTTTTTTTTTTTTTTAAATCATTCAGGCTGGCCTTGAACTCTCTGTGTGGTTGAAGATGCTCTTGAACTCCTGATCCTCCTGCCTTTCACTTCCTGAGTGCAAGGATTACAGGTGTGGACCATCACACCCAGCTTAAACTCAGTTTGAACCTGTGCCAAAGCCTGACCTTCTCAAACTGCTACCAGAACCCAGGTGCCATTACCTAGGATTGGAAGTCGTCAGAAAGTTTCCTCCCTCCCTCCCTCCCTTCCTTTCTTCTTCCTTCCTTCCTTCCTTCCTTCCTTCCTTCCTTCCTTCCTTCCTTCCTTCCTTCCTTTCCTTCTCCCTTCCTTCCTTCCTTCCTTCCTTCCTTCCTTCCTTCCTTCCTTCCTTCCTTCCTTCCTT